GGGGGCGAGCGACTCTCGAACCAGTTTCTTCTTTTTTTTTTTATCGTTTCTCGCGCCCGTCCCCTTGGCCGCGAAACAATACAGCAAGAGCAAAACAGCCGAGAGACGGAGAGCAAAATGAGAACAGAAACGTGACGCTAAAAGGAACGACCTACGACAGTTCCAGATGAGTCGATTTACAAATGAGGGGAAAAACAAGAAGGAAACAAAAACGCGCAAAAAGACCGACGTAAATAAATAAACAAATATGTAGGCTCTGCGAATTGGATCCAAATTGAGGCTAATTGCATGTGTGATCGAATTTTGCATCTTTTTCTTTTTAAGATAGATAAAAAAATTTAAAAAAAGATAAACACTAGAGGACCAAAGAGCACGATTAAACATTCGGCTCGGTATATATTTTCCGTATTAACGAATTTAGTCATTCGAGAAGCTTAAATACATTGAGTTGCGAAGTGATATTCAGTATGCGCCAATATTTCACGAAAAAAAAAAAAAAAACCATACGTATTAAAAAAAGAAAAGAGAAATCAAGTAGAAACCTTAACTTCAACTCTGATTTTACTTGCACGTGTAGTTAACTCATATTGCTTGCTTACGTAAACGTTTTATTGAACCTCCTCGCCGATAAAACTTTGAAGCGTTTAGCCGGGGTCACACTGCTTATATCATGCAAACAGATTCGAACGCAAGTCACCACGATAATCCTGCTTTGAATACCGCATGGCAACGAGTTCAAGGAGAAAGGTGGCGCGCGGCATTCGAACCACGGATATCGCGGTGACTTACACCTGCAGACCGTTTTTTTTTGGTATGGTTTGTAAGCAGAGTGACCCCGACTTTCGAGTCTCGCGTTTCTTCTTCGTCGCCCAGGCGTAGTGTTTGTTCATTAAAATATCTCGGCGAGCCCAGTTGACTGCAGCAAGTCAACCAGCGACTGTAGACTGCGGGACTTGCTGTCGGAGTCACTCGTCGGCGTGGTCGAGCGTCGGCGGTAGACTTCGCTCGCGGGTCCATGTCGGCCCAGACTTGCGTACAATGGGCGGCGATGGCACGGCACTCCGATACGAGATGGCGGAGTTTGGGAACAGCACCCTCGACGTTGCAGTGCTGGGGGTCCTCTCGTGTGTACCAGAACGAATTCCTCGTTGCGTGGAAGTTTAATCAGCGGGACATTAGCTTACTTTTATTTGGTGCCATGTTGGGTCTTGTCTGCAGGGGAACAATTTTTCCTGTGGTTTACAACGACTGCTAACCTCAGGATATTTAACGTGCAATAACGCGGTAGTGAGTTCAAGAATCGGTACCGCAAGAATTTCAAAACACCCCAGACAACTTGGCCGACATCTTCGGTTTAGATGGGGATAACCGAACAATAATTAAAATCTCCGAAAGTTGTAAAAACAAAAAAGGATATATAAAGTTGATCGGTCCGGCTGAACACGTTACGACGATGGTAGACTTTTCAGTGATTTTTCAGTCACGTTTATTTGAAACAACAACGACTGTAGTTTACGTCAGAGCAACCTCCGAACGTTTGGTTCCCAGTCCCCAAAATCGAATCTTTCTTTCTGGCGTGCCGCGGGCCTTTAGAGATTCTCGCCTCCTCCCCCTACTGGGCGGCCAACCAATCATTTTAAAATCTGTCAGAGTCACGGGGTAGCCACTAGTGATGGGCCGAACTTTTGTCGAATCGAAAATTCGGCGCCAAATCTTGGGAAGCTGAAGTTTTGCCAACCTTTTCTAAAGATTCGGAAAAAAATACGTTGTTGCGAGGTTTAAAAGTTGATATTTCGTTGTTTTGTTTTTCAAACGAAAAAAAAAAGTTTTTAGGTTGTTTTCTTTTAATGCATATTGGGCACAGTTCTTATTACTAAATAAGGTTACGTTCTACAAAATAATTGTATCGGTGTAATCTTGGTGTGTTTACTGGCAATTTTACAGTGACTTTTTGCAGAGGTGGTGTGACAACGAGGTTGGGTAGTAGCGAGCGCAGCCACGATACGCGAGATTCGGTTTTGAGGCCTCATCAGCGCGAGCCTGCAAGTATGTACAGTGCATTCTTAAAATAAAGCGATTACACTGTGTTCTTTCTCTGCGAGTCACCGTTTCGTGCGCAAAAAAATGAATGCAACGGCTGTTGAGCCTTCACCAGAAGAGATAACAGTATTGTTGCAAATACGCATGTTTTTCTATTTGAGTCACTTGACGCCAGCTTTGCATGAAAGTATGCGTCCCATATTCGCAACGTCTCGGTTTTAACTTTTACTCAAGCTGCATTTCTGCAGCTTTTTTACTCCGGCCTCCTATTCACCACATGTATCTGTGGTGAAAAATGAATTCGTATCGTATTGTATCGTAAAATGCCGGTTTCTGATGTTAGGACGCATGCGGACGTTTAGGAAGATGGGAAGAGTTAGGAATATCGGATGTCGAGCATGATAGTTGTGTGTTTGGTGTTATGCGGATAGATGAAAACCGCTAAATAAAGCTAGATAAAAAGCATTATTATTTTGTTTTGGCACAAACTACTTGCGCGACAAAAAAAAAAAGGGGGATTGCTATAAGTGGGAGAAGTGCTTGTCAGTCAATGTTGCAACTACCTCCCTCGTTGCATCATTGGAAATATCAAATGAAAATCACGCCATCCAGAATGTACCGCATCATTTGTCACACGCCATATTGTTGGACGTTGCTCAAAGCGCATGCTCAGAACCAGCTTCCATCTATCGTCTTCCAAGAACAACGATTCTGATAGTGTAGAATAGACGTTTAACCCGGCGTCTAGAGACTGAAAAACGCTTTCCGTTGATTTTCGGAGTTCCGCAGTACCTTTTTGGGCGAAGCATTATTCCATGTTGCACGCGTATAGAGGCAGTTTCGCTCAATCTTCAGGAACGTAGTTTAATGCTACCCGGTGAGATATCGACCTTTGCAAAAAAAAATCGCCTACTGTGCGCTGCCATCCTTATCTGCTGGGCTGTGTAACGCCTTCTGATCATGCGCTGTTGATCTGTTGTGCGGTACATCGAACGCTGCACATGCCTCCACAGCTCAGTGACTCAGCATTTTTCGCCCGGGTGATAAGCGATGGAAGAGTCTATACACACCACACATTACCAATATGCCTTTCCCGCACGCTTCGCCGCCTAAGCTTTCTCCTTCCCCGTCGTTGGGATAGCCGAAGTCAATCGTGTGCAAGGGCCGGTTGAAAAACCGAATGCGCAACTCGTCGAGTTCGTTTGCCTCGGCTCCGAGCAGGTCGAAAGGGAACGCAGTTCTCGATGAGCGCCGTGATCGAGCGCCTTCGTTCCAGCGTCGCGTCTTTGTATCGGCTCGGATCGCGCTTCAAGAAGGGCGGATGAGAAACGCTCTGCTCGCATCAATAAGCCGCAAGAAACACACGCCTCACGCTTGCGCGCTTCGCCAGCCTTTGAAGAGCGTCTCGACATTTCAGAATATGGAGAGCTCCTGTCGTGATACCTGCGCGCCGTGTATACGACTGGATCGAGTAGAAGGGACCGCGCTATCAGACGACTAGGAAAATACGACAGCGCGTTTCAGGCGGTGCCTCGGGATGCGTATCTCAACATGATGCGCGCTCTCAGCGACGATCGAGGATCCATTCGCCTGCGGACGTCCACCATATACGGTGCATTAGAATCAGCAAGGGGATCAGAATACCTGATTATACTCCGTTTCTAAAAGATAGAACTTGGAAGAGTGGTGTAACTGCTCGCATTTCCGAATGCGACACATGTCCACAGCCAGTGTTTACACGAAGATAGAAGATGCGGCCATAATTCTGTTGTTCGCGTTCTGCGGTGTTTGTCCTTTGGGGCTTGTTGCGGGGAGGCTGCGCCTACCGTTCGTGGTAGTTTATTCGTTTTTCTTTTTTTTTTTTTTTTTCTTACTTGAGTGCTATGAAAATACAGGCAATCACTTTTTTTTTAAATAACTTGGCCGATCGTCTTCAATTGATTTATTAGCAACGTGATCTCTGCGTGATTCATCTGCCTCTCGGCGAGCCAGTACGCTAGGGAAACCTTGATCAGAAGTTCCAAACGGACATGCAGGAAGAGGAAAAATCAACGGTCGGGCTCTTTCAAAAAGAAATGCCCAGCTTCGTTCGAAGTCCTAATTGAAATGGCATAATAGCCGCGGCTATCGACGCGGGACCTTGGATTCGAATCGTTCGGCGACGCAGCCTATTAACGGGGGTTCCAGCGGAAGCAGGCAAAGATGGGACTGCAGCAAGGTCAGTCGCCAGCGAAGAATATACTTACTCTATCCTTGCCAAGGGGCCATGTATCTGCACGCGCGCTGAGGGTAGGTTTGTCCTTACTTCTTTGAGAACCGCATAGCGTGACGACAAAGTGAAATTAGTGACCGTTTCATGACCAACCGAAGAGAAGAGAGTGCGGGAATGGTTCGTTGGTCTGCCTGCTTCCTACTTATTTAGCTGGCTGCTGCGACTGGGTAGAAATGCGTTCGCGGCTTATTACGAAGGGGGACCAGAAACGAATAGGGTTTAGGGAGGGGTGATTGTCCCAGAATAAATAGAAGCCGCCTCTAAACATATTAGTTAAAGTTGCAATCAAGTTATACAGTAGCAGTTTCACGACCACCAACTGGCCTTCTTCGGTGTTCAAGAAAAGAACTCCTAGTTTCATATTGCCGCGGCACAGATTCTACTGTATTACTTCAATCCATATTGTAGTCAGTTTAGCTCAGTGAACTAAGATGGCGTCACTATGAACGTAACAAAGCTGTCAGTGAGCTCCATTTCCGTCTTTTGCAAACGCTATGGGATGTTCTGGGAATATCCAATGGCTATTGTCCGCCATTTATAAAGTCGAAAAATCTGGAGACTAAACTTCGATTACTGTAACCAAAAGCAGTCGTTTAAAACTACACTGAACCAAGCGCACGCTTCCATGTTTTAAGGCCCAAAAGTAAAATTGTCTAGGAAGAGAATAACGAAATCGCAAGGTCATTACCTAACTCACCTGGAGGTAGCACCCCCGTCAAAGAGCATTCCCTCGACCTCAAGGAATAGTCGGAGTCGCTCGAAGGTCCAGCTTCGATCCCGGAGGAAGCGCTCGTTCTTCTACTCGCACAGTCCACGCTGTCTTGCTTGGCACAGCCACAGAGTTCGCAGGCAGGCTCCTTGTTCTGCTGCTCGGGAGTCGCTGTCGCACTCGCCTGGCCCGCGCTGTTCCTCATGTCCGCTGCCGGCTGGGGTGATCCGGATGCTTTGCAGCCACAGTGGCTCTTCAAGCGGTGCTCACACGTCCATGCCTTTCGTCCGGCCAGGAGCGAGTCCCACTCGATTCTCTCCAGTCCCCGCTCGACCGATACCAGGAGATGTTTGAGGACGGTCACCAGCTGCTCGTCAGAGCAGTTCTCGTCCCCTCTCGCCATCCAATCCATAGTGGACAGTGTTCCAGGGCCGCGGACATCGAGATATTTGCTGCCGAGGTGTCCTAGATGGTCGCGGTACTTGACAAGCAGTCTTGCCGACGGGCGCTCCGGGAGGTGATGAGCCGCCGCTGGCAGGGAGCTCCTGGTGTCGCTGGAAACGACGCCAACGACGAAGTAGAAGTCGCCGGGACGCAGAACCGCGGGGTCTAGCTCGCAGATGTGCACCAGCAGTCGGCGATTGAAACACAGGGGCCAGGACGTCGGGCGCTGGGCACAGCACTGGTGACAGGCGGTGTTGGCGGGCCACTTCTCGGATGCGGCTTCCTGGAACGAGACAAACCAAACACCAGGTGACACACCGAGCTGATACTGTAGGTAATATTTTTTTTTAATTAAATAAGAGTAAGAGATATTGACTGACTTCGTTCGGCTGAGCATGGTTTCGCGGCTTGCCCCAAGTGCATGATTACAAACTTATTATAAGAGTAACCTCACAAACGCATAATCATTTTTATATTACTCGTGGGGCATTAAGAAATCATACCTTCGACAAAAGCCCGACACTCTGAACGGGATCGGTGACAAAATCCGTCAGACCTTCACATGCATGGAGTAGAAAATAAGATTTCAAATGATTTGTACACTAAGTACACTGAGTGCTATTGCATTTGTCAGAAATACGATAATCCTAATGAAGACCAGTCGTAGGTTCCTTTTGAGGCTTGTCGCTTAAGACTCGTAACGATGAAAACCCACGTAGATGTCTTCTCACACAAGGTTCCGGACCAGTACAACGTGACGGCGTTTTTAAAACGGAAAAACTACGCAACTCCAGAAGAAAATAAAGGTGATGACAACAATATTCCACTCGGCAAGTACTCTACTTAGTTGAACATGTGCTTCAGAGTCAAGGAAATGAACGCATGTCTTCGTTCGGTTTGAAATCACGGTAAAAAAAAAAAAGAAGCCAAATTCGAATCTCTTTAGAAGCAAACGTTAGAATGGTGGGTACCTCGAAAAGATAAGTGCCATTACAGCAATCGAACGAGACAGCATCGTACAAAGAACTCTTAGCTTCTGCTACATCACATATACATCTTCAAAAATGTTTCACTGAGTGCTGCGTATTACTAATACGGTCCCAGTTTCCGCATCCGCAAGTTACTACCGCTATATAAACAAGAATAAAACGTACATGTTCGCGCGGTGCTTGACGACTCAATTAATATGGCGGTCAGTAGACCGCCGGAAGGTCAGCACAGTAAACGAGGCCCCTAACACATTTAGGACTGACGTCACTGCCATTCGCGCAGTCACGAAGAAGCAAGAGGAGATGGACGAGGCACAGCTCAGACATTCCCCCCCAGACTTCTTACTGGTGGGGCCAGGTATCGTAATGAGCCAACTAAGCAAAAACAACAAGGCCCGTCCCAATAACCGAGTCCCCTCAAAGGAATAAAAATATTATTTCCGTAGAGCCGTAGCGATTGCTTAAACCGGAGACGTGCGCTGCAGCGGTCATGGCCGGGAAGTAAAGCTACATACACGTAAGCAAGTACAAAAGAAAAATATATATATGCAAAAAAAAAAAAGAAGTTTACAGTGCGAACGCCCATGCTACGCACGCCAACTCCTAGCGACGCTGCGCACGACGAGCATAAAGTTTTGTTCGGCAAACGAAACAGCTCACATGAAACTACAGGCATTGCTCTGGCGGCATTTGTTTACGGTCTGAAGGGCCAAGTGGAATGGACCCCCCTGGCACTTGTAACAACTTGGAATTCTTATATAGTACCATGGAAGCGGTTGGAGCTAATGAGACGTTTTCTGCTTCGGCTATTCGAATTCGGCACAAGCTTTACGCATCGCGCATCCAGTTTGCTACGTAAGAGATATTGCAAAATACAATAAACTTAAAACAGGAAGAAGAAAAAATCGGAAGCATTAAATTTAGAGGCTGGATAGAAAAAAAAAAAAATGCTTTCGTCTTGGTTTTGGCGGACAGAAAGTCCTCAAACAAAAAAAAAAAAGCCAAAAACGTTTTTTTTTTTTCTTTTTTTTTTTTTTTATTGGAGTCGCGTCAATTTGTTGTCGGGAATGGAGGTGAGAACTGTATGTTTGTTAAAAGCTTACTATAGGCTCACGCAACTGTGCAGGGACCCAGAAAACCTGTGTTTTCTGTCAGTGCCCATTTAATTTTAGTGTCCTGCTCAAATCGCACGTTCAACAGGGAGCATGCGACGTAATTAGGCAATGAACTCAGAAAATAACACAACCATACACGATAATGGCATAGCTTATGTACTACCGTATTTGAGCGGCCTGCCTTTCTGCGTAGTCTAGAACTAATTTGACGCGAACCCCAACAATTTAGAGGGGGGATTTCAATCGTCTGTCGATCACTTAAAGAGTAATCAAATTAATAGACTCATTAGAGGTCTAGAGACTCTCTTGGTCAGAATGATGTCCATCTAGCTGGTATTGTGTTGGTCAAAAAGACATTCAAGGCAAAAATGCACCGCCTTTCATATGAGATACAAATTAGTTTAATTGCTGCTGCAGCAGTAATTAAGTAGCTTCCTAATATATATATATATATATATATTTACGTTAGATTATTCACAAAATATGATGCTAATTCGGAAACGCAAAACACGACACACCTTGAAAGCCAACCTAATGACCTATAGGCTATATTATATGCCACATATTGTGCTTTCCCGGTACAGGATATGCATTCTGCCCTGGTGGCAATAACTGGTGCGAAATATTCTTTTATTATCTTCAAAACTTAATTACATAAACATAAATGTATTTCTAAAAAAATGCGCTTTAATGGTATTGTTATTGTCTCATAGTTGCATTTTTTTTTCACAGAAATAATTAGATTGTTTCAAAAGGCGAAGAACATGTTTGTTTTTGTTGTAAGCGTAAAATCAAACGGAAAGGAAGAAATGGAACAGTATGGCCACTCTTTCCAATGAGTGGCCTGGCAGTTTCGGTTTTGAGAGAGAGAGAGAGAGAGAGAGAGAGAGAGAGAGAGAGAGAGAGAGAGAGAGAGAGATAGTTCAACAGAATAGAATACCAGTGTACAGAAGCCATGCTCTTCAGACTTGATGCAGACTTCCGTCCGCCCTTCCTCTAGCGGAAAGGCAAGAAGAGCTCGCCGTCTCATAGCCTAATAAAACAGGCACGAGCAGCCTTAGCGCTGCTTAAACCACTCAAAATCATCCGCAATTTCCCGGCACCTTTAAAAGAGTGCAGCAGAAATAACTAGAAATAACTAAAAGGCTCTTTGAAACGGGTCGCGTCTCCAGGGGCCAACCGCCTCCTCTAACCAAACGCGCAGACGGGAATACGGCGCTAGGATGAACTGGCGGCGCCGTTTCTTACAACAAAAAAAGAAAGAAAAAAAAAAGAAAAAAAGAAAGAAAAAACGGTCGGGACGCCGGAGCGCCGAGCATAACCAGGGGCCGAGGGTCTCTCTCGACGCTGCCTCCATATCTCGGGCAGCAGCGAGACTGGCAGCAGGCCAATCAGGCCCGACCCCCCCGAGGGTTCAACTCCCCGAAGCGGCAGGACTTGAACTTGAAACGGCGGCACCTCGGGCTGTGTTCGTCCGTCCTCCATCTTCAGCACACTCAAGGCGACCCGGCAGCGGGAGAGCGCCGCCCGGGGCGCTGTTTGTATAATCGAGTCGGTCTCCACGCCGAGAACTTACCATTAGAAAGAGAAGAAAAGCAACAAAAAAAAGGAGAACGCTTTCGTCGCCCCTGCAAGACGGCTCGCCGTCCTTCCACTCCCTTCTATAAACAAACAACCAAATAAATGAGAGAACTAAGGCGCCGTGAAAAAGGCACCGCCGAACAAAAGAACGGCCATCGAAACCGAAAGCCGGCATCGTGACCGCTTATCACCCTCGCATCGTCACACCGGCCGCCCCCAACTACACTGTGGAAAGCCGCTCATCCTTCATTTTATCTCTTCCCCCCCCCCCCCCCCCCCCCACACACACACACACATACACACAGGATGACTTGAGCCAAATAACCCTTCTGTTGCGTGCGTCCCGAGGAGCAACTGGTGGCCTCCCCGAGGAATCGAGCGTGACTGACAGTGCCCTACAGTGACCCCCGCCACCCCACCACGGTGGAACATTCGAGAGGACGTTGCAGCCACGCCGCTATGCTTCTGCGGACATCTTAATTCGCATCTTCCTCTACACTGGGGTGAGCGTTGTCACGCTAAGTTCGTGCATTGGAGCGGTTTCGGCATTCAAAGAGAGGCGTCCGCGGGATCATTGGTGCGAGAGCGCTCTCATCGCGATCTTCTTTGAGAGGTTGACCGACCACAACATTTGCCGCCGTCCCACAGCGGACGCTCTCTCTACTGCTTTCTCAGGAGGGCCGGGAGACAATGGTCGGGAAACAAAACATGGAAGTTGGTGGGGCCATCTTTGCTGGTTGTTGCCGCCTGCCCCACCACTTTCCCTGCTGCCAGGCCATGTTTGGCAGTGAGAGATGGACTTTTCAGTGTGTTATGTCCTTTGAAATTATCTTTTCCATTATCTGTGAACGTACGTCGCATATTTTATTAATTATACTGCTTACACTTACATCATCCTTCAATATGTGTGTGGCTTTTGGGTATGGATGACTTCATCATTGTCTGTAGAAATATATATATATATATTTTTTTTGCTATGTTTATTAACCGAATGACTAAGAGATCAGCTTCGGCTTACTTGTCCCCGTTCGCCACTCCGCAGCCAGCATAGGTGGTTAATAGTATCGAATATAATAGTGCTGGATCAGCGACGCAAATAATTTTATTTGTGGAAGTTTATATCTCCCATGTTGTCCATAATGGGAAAAATCAGACAGCTAAATTAAGACAAATCTGCACGCCCCATCAATACATATTTATCTTTCATGCATAAAAATATTAAAAAATAAACAAAGGTCCTTAGTGTCTGCTGGAGGTTCAGCTGTTAATTTCCCAACACATGTCATATTTACACCGCAATGTCAGTGCACCGAAACGTCCGTACACCGAAACGTTCCTGCACCGACAAGTCCGCACCGAAATGTCCTACGTCGAAACGTATTAC